CAAGATGCCAGACGAGGATAATCCCTCAATGAAAACAAGTCCCATTTATCTAACCTTCACGACGTCATCGCTTCCATATTGTTAAACTTAACACCAAAAGTATCAGATAAATTTACATCTAAAATATTAGTTAATTTTTTAATAAATTATTTCTTACAATGTTTGTGGTCAAATAATTCAGCGGTGTTAATATTTAGTAAATTTAATATTATGTTAGGTGCTGACTACCATTGTAAATTCCCGGCAACGAACACAGATGAAACTGCTTTATAAAATGCGTGAGAACACTAAAAGTTGTCTATTAAAGGGTTATAAGGTAAAGAAAGTCTTGGAGCCGAGCACACTGAAACTGCGTTATATATCAGAATGACGTGACACTCACAATGATCCTTAATAACATAACTGAAATTCTGTAATGATGACACTTAACTCCCTAATTGTTTAAGATTTTGTCATCGTCCAATCTTCCCACCGTTGGGATTATTAACTGCTGAATTCACAGATGAATAAACATTATTTTGACAAAGGCAACCCCAAAGGTGCACAACGAGTGCCAGTTTGGAATACTTGCCGTTCACACAGCTATGTTTAAATCTGTGGCCATTTTTGATGACTCCATGACCCATGTTCACGATATGTAAACGTCTAGTAAGGTCTGCTGAGGTAGGTTGGTTGAAGACTAGTTAGGTTAGTTGAACTAGATTGAGTATGTGGTTAGGTTATGGGCGGGTTGAAGAAGCTGCTGGCGAATGAGTTGTGTCATAAAAGAAATCACAGTATAACAAAATCTCGAGTCATTTTGTCATATTGTCCGCCGTTGTCAAGATCTTAATTTTCCTTTATTTAACTTACCCCAATATCATTTTAACCTCTGATCTCATCATTTCTTTCGTAGTTTGGTACATGTTATCCCCTTAGCATTCTGTTATGAAATTAACCTTAGTTGGTGTTAATCAAGGAGGATGAGCCATTGGTTGAAATACGTGTATGTTTAGCATTTGACTTTGATCCTTTAGGAATTATTCGATGGCCCAGATTCAAAGGATCAAAAAATAATATGGGTTTACACTGGATTAAGGTATACGCAAAACAATTCGACCCACAGACTCAAGAATGACGTGTGGCTGACGTTGTTGGGGGAAACCAGACCGGCATCATCACCCTGGTACTGAACGCGTGAGATATTTTCGTTCTGCTTATCTATCCTGAACGGCAACAGTGAACTACTTTCCCCATCTTGTTTAATAGTAGTCTAGTGTACTGACTTAGAGGTACTACCGCCTGGGAAGATATAGGAAGCATAATGTATTGTCTAATGGTAGATCCTTTCTGCCTCATTTACACATAATTGCAGGGTCTCAATTGTTTCTCTTACTACTTCAACATATATATATTGTTTCGCACTTTTGATCTTTTTTTTTGTAATTCTTTATGGTTCTTTATTATTATTAGTATTACTATTATTATTTTATTTTTAATTTTGTATTCTTTATTATAAATTTTATTTACAGAACTAAGAATTATTATTATTATTACATTTTCGCCCCCCTGGCCCCGAGGCGGGTCAGAGACCTGTGCCCGGGTGGGCTAATCCCCATAAAAAACAACTTATAACTACGTGCTTAAAGACCTAGGTTGTTTACGCACAGAAACACTGTACACATAAACAACAATGGTGACGACACAGCATATTGTAAGTTATACTCCCCAACAGGCCGTCGTGTGTAAGGGACTGGCGGCCTTGAGAAAGTCATATTGGTTTATACAATAATTATACGTTTACTAATTCAGTTACTGATAAGAATCTGATTGGTGAGTAATATGAATCATAAGCAACATCAACAATGGACTTGTTACGTGGTGGAGAGCGCATAGTCTCACAAAGAAGAGAACCAGGGAAAGCAAACATCTTAACTATGTTTTGCTTTATTTATTCGTCAACGTTTCGGAAAATATTGTCCATCATCAGAGCCTAGAAAACAGACAAGTTTAAAAATTACAGGTAATATACAAGAACGAAACATTATTCCAGACATTACCTTCCGCAAAACTGTTCAAAGTAACAGCATTACAATTTACAACCACTAAAAATGGCGGGAGACCTAAGTGCAAAACTAAAATAAGAAACTGAATCATCTGAAACGGAAAACAAGTGACTTTAAGAGATGATTAAAAACACAGGGTATAATAATTCTGGCATCAACCCCGTATTGCAAGTAACACCATAATACTGTATGTTTAACACAATACTACAGGTAAAAGGTGAAAGTAGATCCTCAATATAGTGGTGATACAACACACTGTTGGTTGACGCTGTTTCATAGCCCTTGCTGCTGACACACACAATCGACTTGGGTGCCTGGAGAGAAGTTAATAGCCTGTAACCATCAGGACACAAATTAACATTACCATCACAGTTCTTCATAATACTGTACATGGATTTGTGTTCGGGCAGCAGACGTTTTCGCTGGTATTGTCCGAGATTAAAGTTCTTCACCTACCCGTACTATTAAGCACCAGGCGTAAGTTATATACCATCTACAGTAAATACACCAGAAATTCGGTCGGTTTGTTGTCTAATTACATTATTTGGTCTATGGTATTAGAATGAAGAAGGAACATGGAGATAATGTAAAAAAAACACCTCTGGTATTCAAATAATAATGTTTCCTTCTCGCCATTTTGCAGAGTAAAGAAGTTCCCCCTTACATCATCACCAACACATGACTCCACACTAACGTAGAAAACAAACTAATTAAGCTCGCACTAACACCACACACACACACAATAAACAGCTCCCCACTCGCTTGGTCTGTAGTAACACAGTACACCCAATGGGTAAAAAAAACTCACGATAGCTTATCTAGTATCAACACACACACACACAGTAAGAAAAAAACTTGCTACCTCAGCTCGGAGCAATGCAACACAGTAAACATCTCACGGGCGTAGCTTATAAAGACACACACGTTAGTTCGTAGTACACATATATAAAATAAAAACTTGCTCTGTGTGTGTGGACCTCCGTTAAGGTAGTCAGTCTACCCCAGTCTCTATACTTTGCTCAAAGCCTCAACAAAATCCATATCCCTAATGACATGCCAACTGCCTCGTCCATCACTGATGCGCTCTCAGAAATTATGGATGCAAATTATGACATTACCAACATAACTAGACAGTGACAATCTTTCTCTTCCTTAGTTTTCGTTAATACTGTTAATTATAAATACTATACCTACTAAAACGGTATCTTCTACTACACACATAATTTCTTAACACTTAAAGCGATGAAATGTACTGTAAGTGTAACTAAAATAATAATTATAAAAGCATTCGACAAGTAGAGTAATAACAAATATCTCACAGCAATAAGTTAGAATCTATATAGGTATGTCGATGAATCGGTGAGTCCTGCCTATTACAGTACTGACGACAGCTGTGGTGGCGGGCGATGTACTAAAGGCAATGGTTTAGGTGTAGGTACGGGCGTAGTGACAACTATGTTAGTAAAAGTGATTGCTACTTCTGATCGTAATCACAGTAGTGTTCTCCATGACTGTAGAATTAGTTGTGATAAATCGAGGAAGTGTAGAAGTAGCAGCCTTGGGGATACGTGGAGTAATAGCTCCTGCTTTTGCTACTTACGCTGATAATAAATAGTAATTATTGGCCTATAATAGCATTAATGAGTAATGCCAGACCATTGGTAAACGTGACATTTATTAAAAAAAAACACAGAATGGAATCATCGGTGATAGGAAGTGATGCAACGGCTAAGTAAAATTTTACGGAGTATCGTCACTGACAAACAGAGCCATTTATCTGGTTTCTAAAACGAAGTAATAATAATAATAATAATAATAATAATAATAATAATAATAATAATAATAATAACAACATTTTGCCAGTGTTAACCACCATTCGCTGACATCTTATTTCATGGGAAGAGGTAACTATTATTTTACAGGAACAAATTATATAACTAACACCTTATTCATTACTTGCTTCTTTCTATAAAAATATATTTGCTGCTGTCGTACTTGCAACATTTGCTTTAAATTTTATTCTATTTCTGAGTAGCCAACAAGAGGAGAAATATTTTCCTAGCAGTATAGAGAAAATCTGTAGGCTACACGTACTAGGAAAAAATTTTGTTTATAGGCGATAAGTAATTTAGATTTATAGCAAAGAAATAACAACGGGCAATGGAAGAGTTTGTATCAGAAGATAAACAGATTATACTAATTGCTAAGTTGTTCAAGTAAATAAAAAAAAATTTATTAGTAGCAGCGAAACACTGTATTGTATTTTGCACGACCAACAGTTCCTAGTCGCAGCAATAGTATACGCGGTAACCAAATAAATAGTTTGTAACAGATAAATATTTTGTATGAACACATTGGAAAAAGCTGTAGCTGGCAGTAGCGGCAGAGAAATGTGTTTGTAGAAACATGTGATGGTTCTCAAATTCACTTTGAACGGATAGTAATATCTACCTTGTGTGTAGTAATTTGTTACTTCCGGAGACAACAATTTTTTGCTGCCTTCACCGGTAGGATTTAACTATAGAGAGGCGTTTATCGTCGATAAGTCTTTAATTATTTCTTGGTCAATTTATAGTACATGACATAACCCGATATTGGATATTTATCTTTTTTTTTTTTCAAATGGTAGGTTGAGACAAAAACAAGACGAACTTCATCTGTGGCTCACTGTTGGTGATTTGTTCACATAACAAGTTTCTGACCGGCTCTGTAAACTACTCCTAACAAAGTAAGAGCAGGCGTGACGCTAACAGCGGTAATATTGATACTGTAACCGCCAGTGACGGCATGCACTTTCACGCAATCATAAAATAACGAAACCTGTAAGTCATGAGAACGTGAAAAATGCAATGTAAAACACGTGTGTAGCAGCCGTACATGTGATCTCTTGCAAACCGGAGACACTGAGGGAACACGTGAACACCTACACCTGCCTACAAGTGACTGGTGACCTACCTGACTTGTCATGGTCGTGATGGTCCGAGTCGGAGGTGTTGGTATGGTCTCCAGCTGAGCCTGGGCTCTGGGGTCCTTCTAATCCTAGCATATCCCTGCGGCCCCTAGTCAGGTCACCCAGGGGGCGGGCCCCCATCCCTGGAGGTGCTAGGCCTAGGAGAGGAGGAGGCAAGGCGCCCTGTAAGCCGGCAGCGAGGGCGGGGGGCAGCGGGTAGTGGTGTAGGGGTGGATACGGTAAGGAGGGCAGTAGAGGGGGAGGCAAACCTGAAAGATGTGGGAGGAGGCAAGTATTGTACAGGTGCGGGAGGCTCAGCCCTAGAGGCGCCAGGGCTCCTCCGCCACCACCAACGCTCTCCTTCCCTCCACCGCCGCTGCCTCCACCAAGGAGATACTCCATAGCGAAGCTTTTGCCCCTCTGACTGGTGTGGAAGCTGGCTGCTGTGTTGCCGGACATCATGGGACAGCACCGTTGTGTCACACGTAAAATTATCACGAAATGTCACTAGATATTATCCACCAGGCAGCGCACTATGAACACAATCAATATGATACAGTATTCTTGTCTCTGTACGCTAATGTGTCATCAACATTTTCAGCAGTAAGAGTCAAAGCCTAGCTGGTTCAACTACCGTCCCCGACAGCAGACTTGACACGACTCGCGTGGAGATAGGAGGAGGTGATCGCGAAGGACAGCTCTGCGCCTCCCGCCAGCGGCAACGGATCTGATAACAGCAGAGCGAGTTCGCCATAAGCCGTAGAGGTGTCGAGCTCCGCCCATTTTCTCCCCACCTACTGGCGTTCATTGGCCGCCCGGGAAATGGTTAATCCACACTCGATGCTGAGTGGTCAGTTTTACCCATAAGCTCCACCTTCATCGTTACAGCACATCAAATGGGGGATGGAGCGCCGCCTTGTGGTAAATTATGGAAGGGGATTGTGTTTCTGCAGGAAATTGACGCCCTATTATTTGCATGTTTGCTTCTGGTAAGAGCCTACAGATTTTATCAGTCCATCCATATATTAGAGGCCATCAGGCTTAATAGAGGGCCATTGTGTACAGCGGCCGCCTGTAAGCCGCTACTGAAAAGAAGGCAGCCGTAGTGTTTGATAAAGAGAGGCACAGGGGCTCCTAAGAGGGTGTTAAATACCCGAGAGGATTGTAGTGACAAGGCCGCGCTGCGTGTTCAATATGTAGAGCCTAGCCGCTCCCCTAGGGCTGACCCCGCTCCTGCCCTCAACTGTTGACGCATCCTATAAACCATGTTCATCACTAAATAGTTTCTGAACGACCAGATAGGTATCAGATATCAGGATTATTTGTGATCAGTGGAGCAGATATGCAAATCTAATCTACCAAATACAGATTTTAATAATGTTGATCATAGGGTTGGAAATTTTTCCTGGGAGAAGAGGGGGGAGGGGGGGGGGTGCAAAGCCTCCACCAGGGATGAGTGGCGGTAAAGCGTGAGGTCTTAAGACAATTATTGCAAATTGGTATTCATTAAAATTTCAGTTTAATTGCAGGGCACATCATGAGAGCCTTGTTAGAACATCAGTACCGACGCAGCAGTGTACCGGCCTCACAGGTGTTTGGTAAAGTGAGCATGTTTGTAAGGAAGGTTTTTATAGCATGTCTGTGGGCGAGCAAAAATGAGCGCCATGCCAAGCCGACCTGAGCAAAAATTCAGGTGTCGGCCATATTACAGGGGGCATCTTTCCCAAGTGTTTGACAAATTATCAGTGTAATTCATTCTAGTGCCGCGTTACCTACTCTAGTGCCGCGTTACCTACTCTAGTGCCGCGTTACCTACTCGAGTGTCGCGTTACTCTAGTGCCGCGTTACTTACTCTAGTGTAACGTTACCTACGTTACCTACTAGTGTTAGGTGTCGCGTTACCTGACTTCTAGTGTAGCGTTACGCGTTACCGTTACTCTAGTGCCGCGTTACTCTCTAGTGCCGCGTTACCTACTCTAGTGTCGCGTTACCTACTCGTTAGTGTAGCGTTACCTACTCTAGTGCCGCGTTACCTACTCTAGTGTAGCGTTACCTACTCTAGTGTAGCGTTACCTACTCTAGTGCCGCGTTACCTACTCTAGTGCCGCGTTACCTACTCTAGTGCCGCGTTACCTACTCTAGTGTAGCGTTACCTACTCTAGTGTAGCGTTACCTACTCTAGTGCCGCGTTACCTACTCTAGTGCCGCGTTACCTACTCTAGTGTAGCGTTACCTACTCTAGTGCCGGAAAATTCGGAAATCATATCAAGAATTTTGTCTACTACAAAAGGGGAACAAATTTATAATAAACAGTTTTTGTGAAAACCAAAATTATTTATTGACCAATTGGTGAGACTGAGTTAATGTTAGGGCGCCTCAGTGGGAAGGTCTTCAAGTGGGGGTTCTTCAGATCACACGGGTAAGACATGAACCAATAAGAACCAAGAGGGAAATTACGATGACACTCACCACCAAAAGTCTTTTATGTTGTTATGATAACGTTTAATAATAATAATAATAATAATAATAATAATAATAATTAACGGTTTATTGAAAGAGCTTGGCAGCCAGAAGGCTGAAAATATACAGTTACATATTTGGGGAATGGGTTTCGAATTACAAATAATATACAAGTAACATAAGTGACACAAATAAGACATATAATAACTAGATGGGGAAAAGCTCAAACTACAGTTCATTTCAACATAGTGACAGTGCAAGGATTAGTGTTTACTGGGAGTGAATACACTGGTTTATTACAAGTTATTGATAATTTTTACAATGGTTGGGACTGGGCTGTTCTTATAGCGATCAGTTGTGCACGTATGGGCTGGATGCGGTTGTGGTGTCGAACAGCAATTTATAATTATGCCTCATGACTGAGAGCTTCAAGACTGAGTACTAATAGACCCTAAATACTTGCACTGTACACTATATACTGTATGTTACATGGTTTGACTCACATATTTACGCTGAAAAAATGCCGACAATATAGATGACAGCTTAAAGATCTTTGAGTCATATTCGTTTGGTTAACTTTGATATTTTATTCTGGAAATATTCTCCAATAAACAGTAGTGGACTCCAGACATTCCTTGGGAACATTATATTGACCTAAAACTTTATCTCAAGCTGATAACCTGAGTGTTTAAAGTTTCATTAGTTTTAAGACATCTTGTTGACTTACATTAATATATATAGCGACCGCATCACTCACACGGTATCCCCTGAGCGCGAGCGTCGAGAACATAGCCCAGGTAGTTTGGGGTTAAGCACCATTAACCCTTTCACAGCGGGAGGTTACCCTGAGCTGAATAAAATCGTTTCGCGGTAGCCAGAATAAAATGGCAAGCGCATGGTACGCGGTGAGGGGGCTAAGCAAACATTATTGTTATAAAATATGTGAAAATAAGTTTGTTCCATCAACATTTTAAGCACAGGTTACATGTGTGTGTTGTACAGTACAGACACGACGCTACTATAGAGGTATAGATCTAGTGGTCTAGTACCGCCACCTAAAGAAGTGTTACCACCTAGGAGTTACTGAGCCTCACTCTCCTCTCCTGCCTGCACTAATGTTGGTTTAATAATGGCTTTTACTGTCTGCCCTGATCTGACTTCCCTGTATTTCCGGTTAGCACACACTCGCTCCTTTTCCGTTGCTGTTTATATCAATAAGCTATTAAACAACAGAAAGATCACCGGTTGACCTAGACCTCCCTTTGTGGGGCAATTATCCGACGCAGACATAAACAAACCTCTTCACTATTAATGTTTACAATATTGTCCAGTTCACTTTTTTACATGATGGCAAGTTTCCTTCTTTTGTTTAATATTGTACTCTATCTTCCCCTCTAAAATACTTTACAAATCTAGAAAATATTAATATATTTTACTCCTACATAAAATCTGAGATTATTTCAACGTAATTTCTGATTTTTTTCAACCATTCAATTTTAATTTTACAAGTTCTTCTTTCCCAGTTCTATCAAATATTTCTGCCGCGTCTGTTGCTTTCCTAATACTCGCTTGACACCTCATTATAATCACCAAATATATTCATAATGTGTAACTTGACTCCACGTGCAGACTCACAAGGCACTGCTGGGAGCCTTGGGTATAGCTTCAACATCCGCATCACTTGATTGGTTGATATGTGTCACTCACATATGTGTCACTCACATATGTGTTACTCACATATGTGTCACTCACACCGCGTGACCCTGCAGCCGAGAGGGAGAACTTCACCTCATCCAACCTCACACAAGTGACCACCCCACACGGGTCCCTTACATTACACGACGTAATTAATAATATTTTCATTACTTTCAGACTTATTATCTTAATTCTTACTCTCAAAGTTTCTCCCAATATTGGTTAATTTGAGCATTGTTTTGTCTTTACCACCAATGACTTTTGGAAGTGCAGCGGTCGAGTGGATATAGGGTCGCTGATTCAATCCCGGGGCACATCCAGTTGACCCAGCTATAAACAGGTACAGTGCCTATAACTGCTAAACATAGTTAAATACACACAGTAGTGGAATCAATCTGCTTCATCATCTTTCACACAAATAATACAAGTTTGAATTAACATGTCAGGTGGGCCATGAGAGACCCACCACTGTGTCAGGTGGGCCAGGAGAGACCCACCACTTACTTTCAAACAGGACAATGTCTAAATTCTTTGTATTCATCTGATCACTGTTGGCATTATTAAGCAAGTCGTATCTTATTACCACATTGGAGTCTCTTACACTGGCAGCGGCTTTAACATGAGTATAGTAGAGTCTCGTGGTTATTGGATAGTGCCAGGGTAACCAATGATTGAACATACTTGACGTTAACACTTATTGAACATGTGGTTAAAACTGTCTACTGTAGTTCCCTAATGGTAATAGATCAGTGGACTCTAGCGGAGATGTTGATATTGAAGAGTACATTATGAGTACAAGAGTAAACATCAAGAGGACACCCTGAGTCTAGTAATTAGTAGTAAGTAGTAGGCAGCTGTCAAACAGGGAGGTACTACCGCCTGGGCAGATATTGGAAGCATAATGTGTTGTCTAATGGTAGACCCTGCTGCCATATGTGACCAAGTCCCAGGTTGCTGACCTGACTTTCTGCCTCATTTACACACAATTGCAGGGTCTTATTATTATTATTATTATTATTATTATTACTCTAACATTTTCGCCCCCCAGGCCCTGATGTGGGTCAGTGACCTGTGTCCGGGTGGACTAATCCCCGTAAAAAAAATAATAATAAAATAAAAAATAAATCCTCAACTCACTTTATTTTAAATAATTATTAAAAGCTTCACTTAGTCGACAACTTAAGCCTTAGACACAGATTGTTCAACAGATATCAAGTGTTCAAATATTTCCTTTTGCTTCTCTTTGTTCACTAGAATACTCAAGTGGTCTTCACTAGTACAGTATGACAACATTTATCCTCAAAGATTTCCACAGGATTTCTTTACTTAACCATTAGAGTTTAGTTTCAGACCAAGGCAGCAACAGCGGGTGCGTGAACAAGTGAAAAGCGTCATTTATTGATGTTGAATGTTTACTGTGATGAAGATCCTGCAGTATAGTTCCCTTCTTCCTGCTCTATGTACACTACAGTCACTATCAGTATGCTCTGTAGTGCCTGCCCCCCACTCCCCCCTACGACAGAGCCCTTTAGAGCCGTGCCTGCAGGGTCTTATGTCA